CAAAATTCCGATTTCCGGAATTCCGGAATTTTAGGAAAAAGATATTATTAAATTTTTACTTCCATAATATAACTATAATTTTTTTTTCACAAGTGTTATTTTCGATCTAAAATCCGTCTGATTTGCACTTATTAAATGAAGCATCAAACAAGTAAGTACCAATCATTCTATTATCCAATATATAATAATTAATAATTAAAATAGTTAATCCTAAATTTATTTTTAATTTAATCCAAACAGAAAAGTGTGAAATCCAATCAGCCGCTAATATTGGAGCGAGGCACATGACCACCCACCCACCACCACCACCACCACCACCACTTGCACCACCTCTCTCCCTCCTCCCATTATTCTCTCCTCCTCCTCAGATTTTCAGATTCCGATTCTCATTCTCTTCATTGCGCTGCTCCTCTTCGCTATCAGGTTATTATTACTTTCGGAATGGCGAATGAATCGTATTCAATTTCATCTTTTTTTTTTTGATTGATTACATTGCTCTGTGACCGTTTTTTTATTTATTTATTATTTTTTTATTTTTTGTTGTAGTTTTTAGTTGCAGTATCATCTGCTCACAGATTATTATTATCTCTTGCTGTTTGGTAAAGTTGGATTTTGATATTGTGTTTTATGATATTGAATCTCAGCCGTTGAATTTTTTATTTTGCTCCATGTGTTTATGTAGCTCTAGTAGTTTCTTATGGTTATATGTTATGAACTAGTTTGATTTTTTTGATTGTTTATCTGCAGAAATGGATAATGGTGGCAATTCGAGTTTGTTTCCTCTGCATCGCTGCAAAACCATTCACCTGGTTCGTATCATATTTCCTTACTCCAAAATCAAATAAATAATTTTTTTTTTTAATTGCATTCAGAGATTTTTTTTAATTTGCTGCTGCATCTTTGATTTGAAGGATATTCGAGTTTTTCCTGTCGATCTCTTGGATTTTTCTAAAAATATTCGAAGTTATTCGAGTCTTTTGTGGTCTTATATTTAGGTGAGGCATGCTCAAGGAATCCACAATGTAGAAGGAGATAAAAACTACAAAGCATACATGTCTCCCGAATATTTTGATGCACAGCTTACTCAACTCGGCTGGCAACAGGTCGAAAAGCATATCCCAGCTTTGCAATTTACAGTTTTCGTCTCTTTTGTTGATCTACCTAAAACACTTGAATTATTTACTGGGGGTGTGACGTAATTGGTTCTTGAAAACAGGTTGACAACTTGCGTAAACATGTTCATACGAGTGGGCTTATCAAGAAAATCGACGTAGTCATCACATCTCCTTTGTTAAGGTAGTAGTATCTCAGTACAAGAAATTATGCTGTTATAAAAAATATATAAACCATTGTTGAGATTTCGTATCTGGATCGTAGCTTTCACCTGCAAATGTTCCTATAATGCATCACGTCGTTGTGTTATGTTGTTAGAAATTTTCAGGAATATAAGATTCGCAAAACTGAAAGAGTGCCTCATGTACGTATTACCAACTCGTTGTATTGTAATTTTTTATGATGATTTCAACTCGTAGGACCATTCAAACAGCTGTTGGGGTATTTGGTGGCGAGGGGTATACGGATACGACGGACGATTTGCCACTAATGGTGGCAAATGCTGGAAACAGTGACCGTGGTGCAATTTCAAGTCTTGATTGCCCACCTATTCTTGCAGTCGAACTCTGTCGAGAACATCTGGTTTGTCCACTAACACAACAATCTTGCCTCTTTTTCTATCATAAAATTACTTCTTGGATAGTGAATAGTCCTTTAAATAAGGGTTTGATCTGAGGTTTCTTGAAAATTAATTCTCTAAATTACGTTTTGGCTTTATTTTCGGTAAAAGATGATCTGTACTTTTCAAATATCTTCGTAACATAAATCCTGCTGCAGGGAGTTCATCCTTGTGATAAGAGGAGAAGCATTAGCGAGTATCGATGCCTTTTCCCTGCACTTGATTTTTCACTGGTAAGGTCGTTTAATTACTGTTAAGTATTTTAAGCACTGCGTGTTTGAGATCGGATTAAGACAGTGTGCGGTGTCTGTTTCACTATCTTCATTCAGATAGAGAGCGACGAAGATAGCTTATGGGAGGCTGACGTCAGAGAGACAAAGGAGGAACTTGCCGCTAGGGGAATGAAATTCATGAACTGGTGATTCATTCTCCTCTAATTCCGTACACACTAACCTCGTCAAGGTCAAATCACCTTTTAGCGGGCATTAAGTGTTTTTTAATGAATTCTAAAACCTCTCGTTTTCTTAGTTAATTGCATCTTTTTCTTTCCAAACTTCTCATATTTTACCGTAGATTTTTTCCGAGTGGCCTTTTTGAGTGTTCTGAATAAGCCCCTTTGTATAGAAAAAACTTCATTCGGTGTGTGCTTTAATAAGATGTATTTTTTTGATTATTCAATTTTATTACGCAGGTTATTCACGCGGAAAGAGAGAGATATAGCAATTGTTACACACAGTGGATTCTTATTTCACACACTGGCTAAATTCGGCAATGACTGCCACCCTTTTGTGAAGAAAGAAATTTCTAGTCAGTAAGTTCTTATAGACCCATTGTCTTCCATTGTAGCCTAAGAGCTATGGCGGCCGTCAGAGTTATATATATGTATATTTATGTATATCATATGTATAAGTTTTGCGTTTGTTTTAATTTATTAATGTCTCGAGGCATTTATTCATATCCACATTGTTACAACATTTTAGAATATGAGTAGAGCCTTAAACCCCCTCATATAAATGGCTGCTCTTAGTAATACATTTCGCCATATGTGTGCAGTTTTGCCAACTGTGAGCTTCGTTCAATGGTCATCGTAGACAGCAGGTAACAAACAACTCTCGTAAACTCAAATCTCTCTCTCTCTCAGTATGCATATGTATGCAATTTCTAGCGGCATTTAGATTAATGAAATGGTTTATACATTTGGTAGCATGATCGGGTCAGATTCTTCGTCAACTAACTATCCCGGAAAAATCCCGAGTGGACCTGATCTTCCTAGTGATGTTGCCGATGAAAAGAATCAAGAAAAAGATACATCCTCGTAATTTTGCACGATTTTAAAGAATGTATACAATCAGCGGATGAGGTGAATATGCGTGTTTCATCAATGTTGTGTGTTTTATTTATCTATTGGTCGATACCATTTGAACAGTTACGGGGCCATGCAAAAACAGTCCCAAAATGTTTGTACCATTGTTGTCTTCATTAAATCTTCATTTTTTATCGAACAGTTGTTTATTTCTTCGTCTATTCGGTCTACATATATATTAACATTCTTTGGCTATATATATATATGCGCACGAGATATAGGTGTAACTCATACACGCTTTAATTTAAAGGTTAGTTGCAGAAAAGTAGTTGTATTTGTAGTACACAGAGGAAGCTCATACACGTATAACTTTATTTGAGGAAATAAATTTGCCGTGCATGCATAATTATTTCAGATATCGATTGAAAAATTGAGTAAACATGCCCTGCTGTTGTTTCAATCCTCTTTCAAGATGTCGTAAAACTGCGATGGCTTTTTCTTTGGCTCAGAACAAAGTTCCTGGAATACAATTAACATATCTATCAGTACTAATTATTGAGCAATTGAGGAGGTTTTTCACTTGGGTGAAACGTGAGCAAAGCAATTACCTCTACAGCAGCAGCCAACCGTAAAACTGTAGCTTCACACCACGGACGGCCTATGATTTGTAGGCCAATTGGGAGTCCTTGCTTATCATATCCAACCTGGATAGAGTTAACTTAAGTACTATTTGTAATTACATGGATAGCTGATTGTAATTTGCGAATCCTCGTTTGGTTTCATTTTCATGTTTCACTATTTGTAACTGTTAGTGTTTTGATTGAATTGAAAATGACAAGCAAGAAGTAAGATTAGTTACCGGGACAGATATTGCAGGAAATCCAAGAAGATTTGCTGTTACGACAAAGCGCATTAAATTTCCTGAGAAGAAGAACAAATGTAGCATTAGATGAATTTATTTTAATAATCCAAACATCACTAGATAATCGTACTAAATTTTTTTCGATTAGGATCTACAAGTAACCTGAAACTTGCAAATCTGTCTCCCCAGAACTAAGTGCAGCTGGAGGTATGGGAGGTGCCGTCATCCTGAACAAATAACTCTAATCAAATAACATTTTTGACATTATATTGTATGATATTGTGAGAATATATCAACGACGAGTAAATTGCCTAGCAAATTCTATCGTCGTACCCAGTAGTTGGAGTAACAATGACATCCACCTTTTTAAAAATCTCCGTGTGGTAGTACATTAACCTTCTCCTACAATAGACAGATGAAACTTGAAATGTTAATACAGCTTTAAGTATGTTGATAAATTTATAGCAGGCTTGCTTAATATATATATATATGTTAGATCAAGTTTGTACACTATTAACTTCGATGAGAAATTCCAACCGAGCTTAACACTTTCTTATCTGGCTTGACTGGATCAATGAACACTCATCTAGTAACGAAGCACCATAACAAAGGGAGATAATCTAAAAATTATGAGTTACCTCAGACTTTGAGCAGCAACATAGTCTGTTGCAGAAAAGGACTGGAAAAGTGCTAGGTTCGTCCGTGTGTCGAGTGTAAATTTCACTTTTTTTCTGGATAAAAGTAGAGATTCATTCAGATTATATCGGCATATAAATCATTTCTTAAGATACACACTACATTGACATAATCTTTGAACTAAAAGTGGCAAATTCAAGACAGTCAGTTTACAGGCGACAAAGGTAAGTGAACACACCCATCTTCATAATCAGGATACAATCCAGATGCTGATTCAGAGCCAATTGAAACAATGTGAGCATTGCGCATCTCATGAAGCTCAGGTATAACAATCTCCACTGTCTTTAGCATCAAGAGAAAGGAATTCAAAACAAAACTTAAATTTTTGCAGCCACAAATACTTATCTTATTTCGAAATGTGCAGTACAGTTCTTACGAGGGAAAATATATTGCTATTTGTTAATTAAGAGAGCATGGAAACAGACCTTGCATCCATGTGCTTCTAATAAACGGTTGAGAACATCCTCACACTTAGCAGAGATGTCAGTAGAGAATACATCGTTAAACCACTGCAAGTTGGATATAATAGTAATTAAATTCTATTCGAGAGTAAATATAAGAAATACTCTTTAACAGCATCGGCAAGTGGTTTACCTCTGTGTACTTCCCCAATCTCAATGATGCAAGAACATCTCGACTATCATGTGAAGTTAAATTAGGCAAACAAGGGGGCGACTGCAAAGAGATAAAGGTTAATTGATTATCCTGTTTTAGGTATCTCCAAAATGAGTTACTACAGTAATTGTCTTCACAATCATATCAATCATAATGTGTGAAGAAGCTCCATTGACAACACATGGAACAACCAAATAGCGAATTTGCACCAAGAATTATTACTAAGTGTATGAAACAAGAGGTCGATCTCAAAGTTTCATAATAATTTTACTAAATTTCAGGTGATTACAGGTTTCAAGGCGATTCTTTCAGCGGTTGATGATCCTAAAATTGCCGCATACCTGAAACATGGTCAGTAGATAAATTGGTGAATCTTAAGTGTCCCAGCTATACAAACATTAAATTACCTAATGTATACATAGCATATAAACATAGAATCAAAGGTAAGGGTTAGAAGTAGTAGAAGTTTATATTGGTGCTGAAAGTGTTCCCGAGACAATTCATACATACGAAGATGGTATTAAAACATATTATATGATATTTAAAAAAACATGATTACTTACACGAGTATTGCATCCTCGACAGTTGATGTGATGGGACCGATAATCTCTACTGTCCCCGAGTCACATATTGATCTGCCAAAATAAATTTAGACAGCCAAAAAGTGAATTGCATCACCAATGAAAATAATTTTGGCTTGAAAATAATACTGTAGAATTTGAAGCATAATCATTTTTAAGCTAAAATCTGATAAAGACATTTTTCTTGCACTAGATGTCATAAGGATAATTACTTCGATGATTCTTTTTAATAAAAGAAAGTTAAGATGCATAAAGAACTTACCCTTTCATATCAGTCCTCCCGTATGTTGATTTAAGCCCCACTACACCACACAACGAGGAAGGAATACGGACTGATCCTGCATTTTGAATTGGGAAAAACTGAAATTGCAATACTTTTCTAACCAAACCTTACAAGGAATTTACAATCTGATGTTTTCCAAATTTACAACCTCCTCCATCTGTTCCTAATGCAGCTGAACATAATCCAGAAGCTACAATAGCTGCGGGTCCTGAGGACGATCCACCAGTATATCTTTCAGGATCATGTGGATTTCTTGTTGTTCTGCATCAAGGAGGAAGAAGCGAGTATTCAATAATAAAACTTGTCAGTCTCAGATTACAGAAATTATGAAAAGTTAAATCCAACTTGTCCAAATACCATGACCACATCCATACAGTTTGGTATATATGCATAAGTAAGCATAAACTTTCCTGTATTTCTAAATCATAGTAAAACTAGAAATACATATTTATGTGAATATGCGTTTTCTGTCGAATTTTAAAGCAAAGGAAATCCTAAAAGATAGTACTATATTAAACTAAAATATTACTTTTAAAGAATCGTTCATGGAGTAAGTATTTCGTTCAACATATAAAAGTATGAGGCTGATAAACTTAAAAAGTAAAAGGTGTTTGAGAATAGTGTTTCGACTATCACTGGGGAAAAGGGATGCAGATCATACATACTAAATGTTTCCACTATGGAGCTTCAGATATGTTTACCAGATTTTCATAGAAAGACTAATAATTTGTTTTGTTTTTTTAAGTTACGATTCCTGGACCTAGAGGAATCAAAAGATCCTGATGAATTTTTTTAGCCAAGTGCTAGTTCAACCGTCAAAGTTTATTAAACAAATTGAACTGCAACATACCCATGATTTGGATTATTTCCTGTCGTTCCCAGACCCAATTCATGCATATTTGCCTTCCCAACTAAGATCACACCACAGGTACGTAACCTTGCAACACATGGTGCATCCTCTTCTACAGGACGAACCTCGTGGAAAAAGGTTGTTCCACCTGTTTGTTACGATGCAATGGTTAATTTTTTATTGTTAAGAAGGATGATCAGCATTGTAAATTCAACTAAATACCTTTTGAGGGATAAGGACAGCAATCAATATCATCCTTAATTGCAATAAAAATTCCATCAAGAATTGATAATGGGCACCCTGCACAGCAGTCATATAAGTATTTATATGTGTTAACGGTTTAGCTGAATCTACATAGTTGCAAGTTAAAAAACGTGACAAGATGCATGTCTTAAAATATCGTACCTTCCTCAAACCTCCGAGTGGAAGCTGCAGCTTGCTTTCTTATTAGCTCTGGATCATAAGAAATCAACAATGGAGTTGGGGGCTTCTTAGTTTTGAACTCATCTATTGCTAAGATGAATCTCTCTGCAACCTTTAAAATAAAGTTTCTATCAATGCATAAATTGTAATTGGTAATGAGTATAGATGTAAAGTTATCTTTATCTGCTTACGATAGACGGGGTTGTAAGCTTAGATCTGTATGCATATGCATAATCTCGAATCTTCCAGTAGCGGAAAGGTGAAGAAGAATCAGCAATAAAACTATTGGCAGGATCATAGTCTGGAAGACTCTTCAAGGCTAATTCAACTCTTCCTTCAGGCTTTCCATTCTCATCCAAAGGAATAACCTCACTCTCTGACTCTGAATTCAAGCACGTTACCAAATTAATAGATGCGAACTGTAAACTCTGAAAATTATTATAAAATAGACGCAACTCCAATTCATTTGTGGCCGTATTTGTCAGGCTGACCTATTACTGAATATGTAAGTTCAATAACTTACTAAACTCCTCCTTGCATTTCTTGATCTACTTCTTCTCACTATATTAATATCCAGAACCTCAATATTTACCCTAATTTACTTGGAAACTAGGCGAGAGGGTAAAATCAGGTCATTATGCAGCCAGTAAAACCAAGTCATCGAGTCTCTGTTATACATCATTATTAACCATTAACAATACGGCATTTTATCATTGTCTATATTCCAAAAACTGTAGACTCCATTTAGTTTAATTATACACACTTCATGATTTAAAAGCTCTAATTTAAGCAAACGAAGGCATAATTTAGTCTAACACGTATATTTTTAGTAACACCTGTGCCAGTGCCAGCTCGATTGTTCCACAGTTGGAGAATATAAAAATTCTGTTACTTCTCCTCCTTTTGTTCTCTTTTATTTCTCAATATCCGAAATTCACATTCGATCACAGCTTAGAAACTATTGTTTATAATTTACGACATAGAATTCTCAAGAGTTTTTATAATTGATAAATACAGGACCATGGTAATTAATTAACCTTGTGGAGGGAACTCCGGTTTAAACATTGGAGGCTCTGGTATCACAGTATTTCTCAGCATCTGATCACAATAACCATGAAAATAACAGTTAAAATCTCCAGAATACACATTTCAACAAACCGAATGTAAATTAACTTCTATAATCGGAATTTAAAATTTTCAAATGAAAAAAAAAAAGACAAAAACACTGACCTCAATCATTTTATTATCCTTCTTCAAACGAGATATAATCAAGGAACCAATCAGCGGCGTCTCCACCAATTTGACGAACAACTTGAGTGAAAATCCAGTCAAATGCGGCGCTACAATCGCAAATTTCGGATTAAAATCAATAAAAAAATTCAGATCAAAATTGGGAAAAAATAAAATTGTAGTCGAACGCTGACTACAACAACACCTTCAATTTTATCGTACTGGTATTTCACCGTAGCCAAGTCAACCTCATTGGCGGGCAGCATCACTTTCTTCTTCCCCATTTTCTCAAGGAGAAAAACTTTCGTCCAATCCACCCAACAAAAACAAAATTAAAAACAAAAAAAATTAAGAATCAGAAAAATAATTGATAAAAAAAATTCTCGAAATTCGAGGTCTGATCGTCGAATCCAACACTCACATTTTCCACTTCTCGAGAAAACCAGAACAGAAATTCCTGCGTTTTCGGCAAATCAGTAGCTGTTAGACTTTTGCCAGTACAAAATGTTGTTAACGTGCGCGGAGGGTGAAATAAAGCGGTGGGCCCGGCGGAAGGTGAGTAATTATTAATTAGGTGAATTAAATGACCGGGAACTAGGCGGGAGGAGGGGTTGAGAATTCGGAGATATATTAATGGCGGAATAGAGCAAACAGTCAACAGTCAGCGGCCGCTTACGTTGCGCACGCAGCGTAAGATAGAGAAAGGCCCAAGCCGCCGTCAGTCTTTTTATCCGTTACCGTTAGCCTCTTGGATGTTGACTTTGACGTTGACAAAATAGATTAAATGGGCTTGGGCTTTGTTTACGTGGGGATATTATCATATTGGACCGGTCCTTACCAGTTGACATAGATGGGTATCATATTAGCCTATTAGGGATTCAAATAATTTTATATATATATATATATCTTAGTATATTACAAATTTGTTGTTAGATTAAATTTGACAGTGGACCGATTACATTAATTGTAATATGACCGGAACCAGAACCGAAACCGAAATCGAAACCTTCTAGAATTCTTTCACGTAACAGAAACTTATCTAAGTAATTTGATAAGTTGAAAATATATGTAAGATTTTCCAAATTAATAATTGATTCACTATTAATCTTTTTGCTTCAAGAAAAGAAAAAAAAAACTATCAAATTTACCTCGAGAACACACACAGTCACAAAATTTGTTTAATTTGTAAGATGGACGTTGACCTTGAAGGACAGTCAACCTGCAACTAAGGTATCTTTCTGGTTGTCTTCTGCTAATTACAGGCCATTTACAGTAGAGAACACTAAACCTTTTTTCTGCTAATTAATCAATAAATTGTTTACAATTTCCCATAATCTGTGTACGTACTATTATACGCTAATTAATTAATTATAAAAAAAATCCTGTTTTAAATCCAACAAATGCCACAGTAGATTTGCAGTTTCTCGTGCAGCTTAGTCATCCTCATATCTTGTAGTACACCAAGAACAACTCTTATTTAATTATTATAACCCATGTGAATGAAGTTTGCAATATTTATTAATGAAAATAATTAGTTAATTATTTGAAGAAAAATAAAATATTAATTGCATACGTAATTAGTTTCTGAATTTCATGGAGTATGATCTCATTTAAATAAATAAAATATACATGATGCTGTCACGAAATGATTATCTTCTTTATATTTTCAATAATTCAGCAATATTATTTTCAATTTTCAAAATTTTAACCCACAGTATAAAAAAAGAAAAAAGAAAAAATCCAATCACCCAATAAAATTTTAGGAAATTACAAGAAAACCTTAAACTTAGGCTAAATTACATATAACACCCCATATATCTGTAATTATCAAAAGTCCCCGACTTTTGTTTCACTCTTACACCGATCCCCTTAGAGTGTGATATTTGACGTAATATTTCCCAAAAATATTGATTTTACCCCTTAAAATAGTCTCTTAAATATAGGTGGCCTCGGTAAACTTTCTATTGTAACCTGATTTTAGTCAACATCAAAATGCAGTGTCACTACACTTTTTAGATTGCTAATATCAACCATCATAGCATAGAGGCAATTTTCAAAACATCTGGCTGCCTACCTTCAATATGTTCCACGTCTGCAGGGTAGAATCGACATTTATAAGGAATATTCTCTTGAATAAAAAAGATTCAGTGAAAAATCACACCATAAGGGGGTCGGTGTAAGAAGCGAAACAAACATCAAGAAATTTTAGTAATTATGGATATATAGAGATGTTTTTTGTAGTTTAGCCTAAGTTAAGGGGGCATTTCGTAATTTAACCTAAATTTTTTGGACCGATAAGTGTAAGGAAACAAGTGGAGGGCTCCACAATCAACCAGAAACATGCATGTGTTGAATGAGTGACTCATGAACACTAGCTAACAACTTCATATTCAAATAGTTAAATTACTTATTTATTTTATTATTATTTTTGAAATATTAATGTTTTAAAATTAGGCTGAAATATATACAATTTCAGTCAAGCAATGCATTGACGTGAAGAAAGACCAAACCAAGCAATAGGTTCATGTGTCGCGTAAAAGATATTTTAGAGGGTGTTTGGAAAAACTTATAAGTTGTTAAATAAAGCTTATAAGATGTTTAAGAACTTATAAGCTCTTATAGAGTGTTCGATATTTTAAAAGAAAAAAAAAATTAAAATTATAACAAAATAAGATGTTGAAGAGTAAATAAGATTTTTTAAGCTTATGATCCAAACACTTTAAAAATTAATTACATCAGAAATAAAAACTCATCAGTTGTTTAAATAAATTTAGCCAAACGGGCTCTTAGTGAGTAATAAAGAAAATCTTTCAGAATGGGTGTCATTTTACACTTTTAATGAAGAACAATTTTATTTTATTCAATTTTATTTTATAACGACATATTAATAAAGTAATAAAAAAAATTATAAAATGATAATCTTGTCAAATAAGGATTTTTTTTTCCTTTAAAGTCTTAGTCATTTAATATTTTCCTTAATTATTAAATGTAATTATCTTAAATATGACTTAAAAAGAAAATAAATATTACTCCAAGAGAGCAATAAATTGATGAACTATTATATTGATGATACAGATCTAATATTTCCAATTCAATTAAGTCACCGAAGAATTTTCGATGTTTTAAGTCTTTAGGTGCAAAAATATTCCTACAAGTATTTGAAAGGAATAAATGCATCAAATGCTCCAACAGTTTATTAATTAGAAAGTCAACCATCTATGAGCACGGATACAAAAACGACGATACGAGGAAATTGAAAAACGGATACAGGAAAGAGATGTTCTAAAAGTGGGAATACGAGAGTTTGGAGAAAATGTATAAATATTAAAAGTATATAGGTATATTTATAAATATGCTATATAAACGTCTTAATTCCCCTCTCCCCCCTTGAAATGAAGTCTCCTAGCACGTTGCACCATTGAAAAATAATAATAGCACTTTGCACCATGAAAACATAATAAATTATTCACTATGCACCCTGGATTAAATAATAAAGGCAATTTCATATTTTATTTTTTATTTTTTTTCATGATGCAAAATACAAATTAAATTGTTATTTTCTTCAACCTCCAAGTGCAAAAAAATAAAAATAAAAATCACATCAAATTATTGAAAAACTATATTTTCTTACAAATTAAAATAAAATAAACTTTTATCACTAAATTACTCGATCGATGGATCTTTTATTGTAATTTGTGAAAATATTAGGTATACAAATTTGGAAGAAAATATGATTTTAAAATTACTTGATAGTGAAATAGGTGAAGGATTATTATTTTTATTTTTTTGTAAAATATTTTTTCCACATAAAAAATATAACTTTTAAATATGTTGATGAAATGTATTTTTATTTTTACAATTTATAGTTTCAAAAAGATTGATGTATAAAAAAATTGATTTGACATTTGGTGTTCTAAAAAAATACACTAAAATTATTAGATTACATTATTGACTTTAAAAATTCATTTGTGATGTCTTATGCATTGTTGTGTTTTGATGGTGCAAAGTGCTATTAATTTGTTTCGAGGGTGCAGAGTCAATTAATTTATTCCGAAAGTGCAAAGTGAGATTAAACCATTATCTAACAATCTATTGCACAATACTCATTAAAATTTAAAAATTAAAATAAAAATTAATACACTCCTCGTAATTCAGACACAAACTCGTCGCACGTTAAATTGTTCATCTGTACAGCAAACTTAAATTATTTTATTTGAAATTTTAAATTATAACTAAAAAACTAATAATTGATCTTAAACGAAATCCCAGTCAATACTCTCTCTCTCTCTCTTCTTATCTCTTAATCTGATCAATTGGTACTCTGTGGGTCCCACTTTCCCCAGATTTCTCCAGCTAACCCCCACCTCACTCCATCCTCCCCCACCCATACATCACCACGTGTCACTCCACCCGCCACGTCATTTAAAACCCATGGTTGCACAGAGATATTAATACTATCAAACGTCGCTTTATCGTAACCCTTTCCAAATACTAGCACCTAGTACCCAGTCGACTCACCCCCCCCCCCCCAACCCCTGTGAATAAGGGGCAACAGTAACACGAAATTTTTTTTGCCCTTTTTAAATCTCCAAAACCCCATTTCTTTCGGCCTTCAACCACCGCCTTCAATTCCTCAGCCGCCGCCGCCGTCGATGGAGAATTATTCCTTCAATTCGTACCCCGAGTCCGGCGACTCCTCGCCGCGGTCGCGCGAGATCGATTTCGAGAATCCGACGCCGTGGGAGGATTCGCAGCCGCCGCCGCCGAATTACAGGGTCAAATTTATGTGTAGCTACGGAGGCAAAATCCACCCGCGGCCGCACGACAACCAATTGTCGTACATCGGAGGGGAGACCAAAATCCTCGCCGTGGATCGGGGCGTCAGATTCGGTTCGCTCCTCTCGAAGCTGATCGCGATGTGCGATAATGAGAACATCTCGTTCAAATACCAGCTTCCCGGCGAAGATCTGGACGCGTTGATTTCGGTGACGAACGACGACGATTTGGAGCACATGATGCACGAGTACGAGCGGTTGTACAGGGCTTCCCCCAAGCCGGCGAGGCTCAGGATTTTCATCTTCCCGAACCTGAACCAGAGCCTCAATTCCTCGGCTCGGAGCTTCGGTTCGGATGACGCCAAGTCGGAGAAGGAGAGGTTTGTCGAAGCGTTGAATTCCGCGCCTATTATGACTCCGCCGCCGCCGACGGCGGCGTCCGTTGCGGTGGCGCCACCGCCGCAGCTCCCGGCGGGTAACGCTGATTTCTTATTTGGATTGGAGAAGGCACACGGAGTGGCGGCGCAGCCTCCCCTACAGGTGGAGGATCCGGTGATTGTCGCTGGTTCGGACGAGAGATTCATGGGGTTAGATCCGATCCAGAAGCACATCCAGGATCTGCAGAGGCTTAGGATCGAGGAGCAACAGGCGATCTACCAAAGGAAAAGCGACGACAATCTCGCCGGCGGAGGATTCGCCGGCGGAGAATATTACAACAAGCCGCAGGAGAGAGTCTCTCCGGTGACAGTGCAAGGCGGCGTCGGCGTTCCCTACTGGTCGGATAAGCAGGTTCAAGGCGGAGGAGCTTACCCTGCAACCACTACCACCACCGTAACAAACGACCAGCAGCAGCCGGTTTACATGATTCAAGCTCCGGCAGGCGCTTACCACCCGCAGATGGTACGGCCGATGACCGGAGCACCGACTCAGGGGTACTACACAGTTCAGAGGCTACCGTCGGATATCTACCGAGACCAACAACAGCAGCAGCAGATGTACAACATGATGCAACAGCAAGGGATGCCGTCGATGGCGGCGGCGCCGCCACAGACTATGCCGCCGCAGAAGGCGGCAGGATATTCCGACGGTTTCGGAATGATAAGACCGGCAACTACAGGAGGGTTAGGGATGATGGCAGAACCTACTTACGCGCAGGTGGTGTACGATGGAGGTATGGGGAGACAGGTGGTCTACGCTGCACCACCTGGCGGCGTAATGGGCGGCGGCGCACCGCCGGCTCAGTACCAAGCCATGGCCGGTGATATGCGACCGGTTGGAGCATTGAACCCGGAAGCAGGGGGTAAGGGTGTCGTTAAGGTTACGCAAGCTTCTGTGTGATTATATGCTTAATTATTAATTATCATGTTAATTACAATTATCGTATACAATAAAAAAAAGTTAAGTCTGTTTCAGAAATAATTGGGGTGCTTTATATTAATTGTTGAATGAATCTTTTTTTGTTTAAATCTTGTTGCACGTATATTGTACATTGAGTGAGATCAAAAGATTATTCGTTGTTTTAATTTAGGATAAATAAACAAAATTGCATGATCTCATCGCCCCATTCCCATAATTTTTCATCAATAGGTGAGTTTTGCAGATCAGTGGTACACGTGTCCATGTAATAATGGAGGGTCATGGGGATTTGTGTTGAAGAACATGTGAGTTGGTACGTGTCCATCTATATTTTCATTTTATTTATATTTAAAACTAATTGGCCAAGATAAATAATATATTAACAAAAAAATTGAGCCGTTGTAAAAACTTGTTTGTTAAATCTAAGGGTAATTTAGACGATTCATTCATTCCGTTACATTTGTAATTGTCAATACCGCAGCAGTTTGGGATCTTAGTTTTAAAGGTATTTGTAAATTGTAATTGTCAATATCGCAGCAGTTTGAAAGCTATTTAGTCTTACATGAGGGTGTATCGATAACCCTGAAATTTATTATGGGCAAATTACAACCACGCCACTCCCTGAAGTTTTACCGGCCAGATTACGAAAAAACATCTTGTTTGGATAATTACAGTTACCCCTCCTTTTAAATATTTTTACATGAAATTATGTAATTCAGTTTTTTACCGAACTAAATCGTATATTCAGTTCGGTAAACGATATGAAATGTTGGCGTACCGAAATTTCGATTCGATCTAACATCCCTAATTTATCTCTAGAGGGATTTTCTTCATAAAATAATGCATAGTTGAAGAGGTGACTGTAATTACTAATTACTAAATGAGGGGTATTTTCGTAATTTGACCATAAATCAGGCGGGCCGTAATTTGTGAATTTATTATTGATATTTTTTAAGAGTCTTTAGAAATCACCGCATAATGAATCATGTTTGGGGAGAAATCGAAGCCAAATGTGAGCCTCGAGCACCATAATATTTTAATTTGACCAAATGCAAAAGCCAAGTTGTAGATATTTTTCTCATATCCAATAATTGGGAATTAAGGTTGAGGAGCATAAACTAATGTATTAGTAGTTGATTAGATGTGAATATAAAAGGAAGACTTTATGGGTTGAACTTTCACCAAATTCATATTACATGACCACAAAAAGTCTCTCTCTAGAAACATGATTAAGTGTAGTCCTTAACTAATTTGCCACGTGGTTTGTTGAATCCCAATTAGGTCAAGATCACTTTAATTTTGTTTTTGGTCACTTCAAAGTTCAAATAATATTAGGTAGGTGGTGTGCGTAAAGGTTTATTTGAAAGTAAAAATAGTGGAATCACGAGTTAAGTTGGTGTTCAGTTCTTATTTTTAAAAGTTAGGTGTGTTTTAAAAATTGCTGCAAAATCAACTTAAATACCATTTTTTATTTTATTTATAAATCATGGGTATTATAATTGGATTGAAATTAAAATCTTATACTTCAAGTGCGATCCAAAAGTATATCGAAAATTTTCTGAAAATTGGAACAACAAGACTCCTTGCATTTGAAATATTTTCTGAAAATTTTCGTTAAAAAAAAAAAAAAGAATATTAAGGGGAGAGAGAAAGATAGCGAAGCAGCTAAAATTTAGACAGACAAATGGAAAAACTACATCTAAATCTTTGCATTTGAAATATTTAAAGTATATGCGGTGTAATTCGAACTCAAAACCTTTCATTTAGTCTGACTTATGTACCATATCGAACTATGAATCCAACCAAAATTCATTCAATACTCACACTTTTCCTCAAAACAATTCTCCACTTCCCTAAACTTTTTCATAATCAAATATCTTTGTTTGTGCAGTAGTTTTCTCACTATTAGATGACAAAATAAACATAGACAAAATTTTGGGATGTCGTGTGGGCAATCTAATGGTGGGTAGGGTGTTCATTTTCCTACAAATATACAAATATTTCAAGAATCATTAGTTTATGTTTATAATTGTCGTTTACCATGTGTGGGAATAATAGAGAAGAACATCAATGGAAAGTGATTTTTTTTGTAAAAGTGATGGTGAAAGATCACTAGTTTATAATTGACAAAATTTATTATTTTATTCACATTAAAAATAACTATATAATACATTTTTCGGAAGATATAATTTAAACACTTTATACTGATTAATTAACAAACTAAAACTATAAACTAAAAATAAATATAATGAAAATGCTCACGGGGAATTGAAAAGTCTGGCCTAAATGTATACATATTGGGCTCGGTGATGATTAGAGGCCCATTTATCAAGACCTTAATTAACAATTATTACCCACATTAATTAGTTTTTAATCTTCCTTTTTTAAATTATTAATTAATATGCACACATAATGGAAATATTTGAAAGTAAGAAATACAGTCAAATATATCAAAATAAAAACAAACAAATAAAAATTATTAGCTTAATCATGAATATATATATATATATATATACATAGAAGTAGAAAATATGAATCTAAACATATTGCAATACTCGATAAATTTATATTCTATCGAAACCAAATATCAATGTACTTCAAATGATCATTCAAATATTTTATGGTTTGTGCAATATTTATTTGTCCTACATAATTTATTCGACATAATAACTTTTTTGATATAGCAGTCGTATTTGAGTCGGACAACAAACTATATTTCAAGGAAAACAAATAAAATTCGTGAGCAAAGTTCATGAATTATATCGAATTTTAGCAACCCAACATCGTTTAATTTTATAAAAGTGTGACATTTTAGCAAAGGACACTTTGGTAATTTGATATTCATAATGCATCCTTGGCAAGTTCTCCATCCACCACGTGCACCCACCCACAAAATCTTTGCTGCAAAATTAAAATCAGATGAAACTTTGTTCTAGTCGGTTCAGCTTATCTTCTTTTGGATATATATAATATAAATATTAATAATCACAAATCTCAAATATAAGATGAATTTAGGATTTAAGTCGAGTTTAGGTCACTTTTTGTGTCTTAATTGTCTCCACTCCGATCTTGCTGTATAAATAGAACTCGAGTTAATGGTAGCCGGTCAAGGTACCACCTGAGGGTCAAATACAGTTGTGTACGGCGGTATTTAATTTGACTCATGGTTGATGGAGGTCTCCGAGCATAAAGATGGACGGAGAAAGATATGTACGGTTACGAATGTGGGAGATATTATAATAGAGAGAAGGAGACAGTATTTAAATATATAATATATGAGACAAATTACGGCCATCCCTGATGTATTATGATTAAATTAAGAAAAAAAACCTATTTTGTTTCGGTAGTTACAGCCACCCCCTTCTTTTAAATATTTTAAAATAAAATTTATGTTGTTCAGTTATTTATCGAAATAAATCGTATATTCAGTTCGGTAAACAATATGAAATGTTGGCGTACCGAAATTTCAATTCGATTTCCCCTAAATTTACCTCTTGAGAGGGTATTTTCGTAAGATAATAAATATTTGAGGGACCGGCTGTAGTAACCCAAACAAAAAGATTTTTTTCGTAATTTAACTATAACACATGGATGGCCGAAATTTGCTCTAATATAATTTTTTTTTTTTTTTTGACAATTGCTCTAATATAATTTAATAAACTAAGAATTTATATAGAAGTTGAATACGAAGCACAACTTTTTCGAGAACTTTCTTTTCACATCTCCACCAGAAATTTCCTTACAACCAAGAAAAGAATTTGATACCTTATTCCCCCATATACACGTCATCACAACTTTTTTCTTCTTAGGAATAAATAAACATAGTATACAATACACGCACATATATATATATACATATAACACCTTATATTCTTCCTTTATTAAATTCAGTTCAAAATTTCTAATTTAATTTCACTCTTAGAAGATAAGCATGAGTGAACCTCCAAAGTATGCTTACCCTTACCCTGCTCAAGGTACTTTCTCTCTCTCTCTCTCTCTTTTTTTTTTTTTTTCAATCTAATTACCTAAGGGTCTATTAGATATAACCCCCTTAAACATTCAAATAATAGGGGTAGATCCAAATTTAAATTTGCCATTTTGATAAAAACCCAAACTTTTCTAAATTACATAAGTACCCTCAATCAAATCCCACAAATCCCGTTACTTTACCTATTGAAATAATATCAAATCCCTCTCTATTTTCCCGTTAAAACACTATCCCCACAAAACCACTATCAAAATCTGCAAAACGTCCCAAAGAAAACCAGAAATTTATACACCGGCGATTGACGATTTTCTGCACTCCGAAATCCCTCCCTATTTTCCCGCCGGGTTCGCCGCTTCCACCTCCGACCGCCGCCACCTCCGTCACCGTTGTCGCCGGTGGCCAACGACGATAACAACGATATTGGCCATAAGCAACACCTCCACCATAGCCTAGTCCTCCACCACCACCACATCCGACCACCTCCACCTCCAAGACCGCAAAAAACGACCAAGACCTCCGTCGCCGTCGCCGTCACTGCTCTAGGGTTACTCAAATCTAGGGTTTTGATAATTCTTCGGCCCATAGTTGATTAACGAGATGCATAGTCGAATTACATCTGTATTAATATACTATCCCATATCATTTAATAGACTATCCCACTGGTATAATTTTACTATGGATCTCGTTAATCGACTATGGGCCGAAGAATCATCAAAACCCTAGATTTGAGAAGTGACGGCGGCGGATTTGTGTTTTAAAATTAATAGACTATCCCATGTATCTAATTCGACTATGGGTTTAGTTAATTGACTATTGGAAAAATAATAATATATATGGAAACTGAATAATATGTTTGTTTGAAATACTAATCAATTAGGGTAATTTTCCTTATTATATGAAAACGATTATGGTAAATAATAATATAATATGAAAAAATAATAATATATATGGAAACTGAATAATATGTTTGTTTGAAATACTAATCAATTAGGGTAATTTTCCTTATATCGTGTAATAGACTATCTTATTGATCTAATTCGACTATGGATCTCGTTAATCGACTATGGATCCCGTATTATTCAACCACATAGTATATTAATAATTTCAATATAGTACATTAATCTGCTATGATAGTATATTACGGTTATAGTAGTGATATGAAATTGTGTTACAAACAATATACCACTGAAATGACAAGAACATTGAGAACAACACCAACGTAAAGTATTCCAACATAACCAATAAAATAGAACATTAATAATCTCATAATTTCAATCTAGGGTTTTGATAAAATACATAAACACATCATAACACAATCAAACCAATATGTCGAGTTAAAAAACTCTAGTACATTAATAATCTCATAATAGTATAATAAAATGATAATGGTAGTATCATGCGATATTCATAATAGTATACTACTGTATTACAACGGTTTAACACTTAACCGAAGTTACCGAGCCATTACATCGTAAACACCTCTTTATAGCAACCAACCCACCAAACCTCAACAAAATCCGTACGAAATTCGCCATCGAAAAAACCTAAAATCATGAAACAAAATAAAAAATGCAGAATACTAAAAAATGATTAAATAGACTGCAAATACATTTGAATGACAATACATTAATATCATCAAAAATAAACTTAAAATGCAAAATCCATACGCTAAATTAAAAAAGACTACGAACTATATTTTAATGTACTACCCAACACACTTAAATCGGCTGTTATAAACAAATAAACCAACTATCGATCGGGATAAAAAACATGAACTCGACCACAGCGGACAATTATTCCGATTATTGCATAAACCAACTACGAAGCTCATATAAAACAACTCTGGTCCGATCTGCGTGAACCATCCTCTTCTAACTCTGTCAATCCTTTTTCCAAACAAACATCATCATCTTCTAACGGACAACGATGAACGCTCAAATCCGAACCTATTTCCACGCCGTTGAAAAAACGATGGAAACGATGAAAAACGATGAAACGCTGGATAAATTCTTCAAAACCGGTTCAAATCCGAACCCGATTGAAAATGATGAAAACGATGGAAAACGATGAAAAACGATGAAAACGATGAAATCCGAACCTATCTTCAAATCCGATGGAAAACGATGAAACGCTGGATAAATTCTTCAAAACCGGTTGTACAAGATTTGATAGAAACCGCCAATATACTCACGTAATTTTATTCCGTGATTTTAGGCAACATATCAGCAATCTCATATCACGTAGTTAAGAAAGTAAATACCGTTCAAAAATAAAACAAAATAAAAAAGGGGTATTAAAGGGAAATTACATAATATATTTTGCCAAGTTGGCAAATTTGGGTGTATCTCAAAAAGGGAAAAATTAATTGGATCTACCTCATTAGAAAATATGAACAAGGGGGTTATCCCTAATAAACCCATTACCTAATTACAGATCTTAGTTTTTACATACCACATGATCAAATGATCTTGTCAATATATATAGTTATTATGTTTTATTACTACTTTATATATATAGATATATTTTCTAATTTTGTTTTTGAATATACCATATATGATGTTAATTAATTCTGCAGGTTATTACCAAGGACCGCCGGTGGTGGCGCCGCCACAGTATGTGGCGGCTCCACCTCCACAAAGGAAACCTGGATTTTTGGAGGGATGGTATATATATATATAAATGTAATTTTTTTTAATATGGTTTAATATATAAATAAATAATTAATGATGGTTTAATTTGTGTGTGTGTTTGTAGCCTTGCTGCTTTGTGTTGCTGTTGCCTGATGGACGAATGCTGTGATCTGTTATGTTTTTTCTAGAACGTACATATTTGCAGGCTGAAGGTACAACTCTTGTTTTTGTATAGTATGCCAATTTAAAATGGCTCTGTTGTTGTAAAATGATTTACTTTGTATTAGTTAATTCAGAGTGGTGGTTGTTTCTTATATATGTAGATTTTAAGGTATAAATCATATTTTATTTGGGTAAATTACGAAAGCATCCCTCATGTTTGGGTAATTACAATCACCCCTCAACTATAAATCTTCTTACACGTCCATTATTTGCGGTGTCAAATTTAGTAGAATCTTTTAGATTATATGGAATATTCTCAATTTTATTCCGTTTTATCACATTCGAGTTCCATATTTTGAGGCAAGATGATTATAAGATGTGTTTTTTGGTTTGTATATATTATGTTGCTGCATTGTTGCGCAAAATGAGTACAAACTATAGAACATTCCACAAAATCTAGAAGATTATGTTGATTTTGAAACTATAATGATGGGCGTGTAAGAAGATACATAGTTGGGGGTAATTGTAATTATCCAAACATGAGAGGATTTTTTCGTAATTTGACCATAGTTCAGGGGTGACTGTAATTTACCCTATTTTATTTCGATGTTGAAAGAGATTTGTCACTCTTTCAATGTTTACCACTTTTCATCTATACAGCACGGAGACTTTAACTTCTCAATGTCTCCGTCTCCGATACACGTGGACATTTGTCCGAAATCTTATTGTCATTTTGCAATCTCTAAAAAGTTAAGAACCTGTTTGGATAGAAAATTTTCAAATATCTTTGTTGACTCTTTAATTATTTACATGATTTAGTGATCAATTGAATATCGATAATCAACTGTAAAATTTATTTTTGAATATATTTGTTATATATATACAACATATTTATAAGTACATATGTAATTATCTATATTTTGTATTATTTAAACGTTTCCTTCAAGCTCCCCTACAAAATTCAACAAATTTCATCCGCAAAATAAGCTCCGGTGGATACTTAACACGTGGTTTGGGTTAAAATCACTAATTAGAGATGCAACTTGATCTTACATTTTATTTATTAATTAAAAAAATTTCTGAAATTATGTAGTCTAATTTATTTATTTAAATTTTATATTAATTAAGTAGCATATTGACAAAATAAAATATAAAATCCAGATATCATAATATGTTATGCTTCTATTTTGGGCCATTAGCTACTAATAGGGCTTATGGGCTTGGGCCCATACTAAAATTTCTCCTTTTCTGTATAATATTCTTTTTCCTTTTCTTTTTTCTTTTTATGGAAAAGACAGTCACTATCCAACCGACCTAATGATGTAACACTATTATGATATTCAAAATAAAAATAAAAATAAAAATAAAAATAAATGTTTTATAATATTGCATTCAACCATTTTTTTTTTCAGTTTCTAGAAAAAAATTAAAAATTAAAAAATTGAACCTCGGAATTATCATCGTGATGCAAAAGGTAGTCTAAGATATTTAATAGGGTATACCAACTCATGGAAAATCGTTCTGCCAAACCAATTAATATGCAATAACTGTGACACAATATTCGTACTTGCTGCACCACAAACTATATTCAATAATTAAATTAAATTAAATTAATCTAATCAAACAACTAATTATAATTCCTCCTTGATTAATAAAATAATAAAATTTAGAGCAATGTTCATTAGCAAGAGATTCCACAGAATTAAAAAAAAAAATTCTGAATTGATTAGATTTGCCAGAAATGAAAATTGACATGCAACTTCAAATTCACCTCAAATGCACACCAAATTCACATTTTCCAGCCACGCAATTGAAGACGTCGGTCGGATTCAGCTTCTCCTCCGCCGGCATCCTGGTAGATGATAGGCGGCGACGCCGCAAACCGGCGGCGGCTGATTTCCGATTTTTTTTATTCCTGATTCCGGATCTGGACAGATTCACAGCTGAAACGCCAACTCAATCACGGAAGCTTCAACAAACAACCGATTCTCCGGTGAAAAAAGGCGGTGGTGCATTTATTCGCCGCCGCAAATAGGAATTCGAAACGGCAGTTTCTGCCGGCAAATAAAGCTTTCCTTGGCTGGTGGAGTGTATAGAAAAGGTTTGGCTGAAATGTGAAGACACCTATATATTAGCTGAGTTTGGTTGTCTCTTCTCTACCTTTAATTTAATTAATTATTTATTTATTTATTCAGCAGCGAGTGGGCCCCACCAGGTACAACTTTTTTGTTGGTAATTCTCTCACCTCTTTTTTTGTGCATTACCACTTATGCCCTTGGAAAACTTTTTTTATAATCCCAATTGATTTTTCTATTACTTTTTGTTTTAATCGTGTACCGAGTCAAAATCCTTGCAATGAATTTTCTTCCAAATAAAGCTATTTTTTAAATACTCTATAATTTTTTAGTAAATAATTTAGTAATAGATTTTAATCATTTTAATTTAATACAGATAATCGAACATATTTGGTAGAAAATTACAATTATTCAACATAACAAAATTATCCGTTAAAACATATGCAGCGAAAAGATTCGAACCCTCAAACAAGGAGTCTCTCATACCAATAAGCTAAATCTTAGTATGCAATGACGTCTTATATTTTGTTATATTAATAATTATTTAATATTTTTTTTATATACGTATATACATCTTGGTTTAAAAAAAATATACATAATTGCATTAGTTTAATACCAAACTTGTTCCAAATAAATCAAGTGCAAATACATAAATATTTATTTTTTAATAAAGCAAAATTAGCAAGAACATTACATTCCGTCCCTTAAATTCCCCTTCTAGAATAATAATAATAATTAATAATACCTTATTGACCATAAAAAAAGAATTCCAAAAACAGGGAGAAAAAACATATAAGGAAATGAGGGTAATATAGTAAATTCGTGTGGAATCAGGCATTGACGTTCTCCTCGTTCTCGCGAGATCCTCCTGACACGTCACGTGGCAAAGCGAGTTTTCTTCATGTTCACGTTTTTATGTGCCACGTCATTCTTGTCACTGGGTCCCACCCCCCTAATAACCCTAAATTCACCCAAAACCCAAGGGCTCAACGTCCACCCGACCCGCCCTTGATCCAGCGGTCCTGAATCCGCCACGTGTATATATCGAACGATCGAGACCGTACGAGACAGATGTTGCGGTCAGTTCCCCAGCCAGCAAACAAACTCACGTGCGCCGTTGGATCACAGCTCCCTGATAGATCAACGGCTGATAAACTGCCCGAGATTTCACCGGGCAGATCTCGTCGCCTTTAAGAAGCACCCCCTCGCCTTCTCATTCCTCGCTCAAACCCTAATACCTTTTTCACCCCCACGCAAGGAGTTCTTCGTTTTTTTCCCCCTTTTCTTTTTTCAGCCCAATTTTAATTCCAATTTCTTGGTGGATTTTATAATTTTTTTTTATTTTAATATAAATTTCTGATTTGAGTCGTCGCCACGGCGGTTCGATTTTGGTAGACGGGAGGGAAAAAAAGATCCCGCTATTTACATGTTTTTTGGGGGAAATTGCTGCCGGAGAATCGCCGTAGCTGAGCACCGGCGGCGGTGCAATTTATGGCGTCTGCCGTGTTAGCAAGCCAGAATGAGTCGAGCTGGGCCCACATGGGAAAGACTCCTTACTCTAATCCTCACCTGAATGCAAACCCTAACCCTAACCCGAAGAAGAAGCAGAAGCAGTTCCACCTAGCCTCGGCCAACGGCGCAGTCGGCCGTTACCACCACCAGAACAACAATTCGCCGGCCGTCACCCAGACAGCGTCCGACGACGCCTACTCGTACAACCAGACGTCGACCAGCCGGAACGCTGTCAATTATGGTGGCTATTTGACTTTCGCCGTTGCTTCGTCTTCGAAATCCGAGCTCCGTGAGCTCCGTAAAAGATTATCTGCGGAGCTTGATCGGACCCGAGATTTACAGGATCGAATCGATTCTGGCCGATTCAACAATGTCGAGAATCCCAGATCTCAACCGAAATTGCACAATTTCAGTGGAAACAGACGGCCTGGCGCTGCCCTTGGATCTGCTCCGAAGAAATTATTCAATGGGTACGACAATGGCAGTTTAAACCCGGTTAATTTTGACGAGTCGTTGAAGGAATGCAGCAAAATTGTTGCGAAATTGATAAAGCACAAATTTGGCTACATCTTCAAATCGCCGGTGGATGCTGTGGCTTTGAAGCTGCACGATTATCATCTGATTGTGAAACGCCCGATGGATCTGGGCACTGTGAAAACCAATCTATCGAAGAAAGTGTATCCGACACCTGCTGAATTTGCAGCCGATATGAGGTTGACTTTCAACAATGCGTTGTTGTACAACCCCAAGTCTGATCCCGTAAACGGTATGGCAGAGCAGATGTTGGCCAAATTCGAGGAATTGTTCAAGCCCATACAGGAGAAGATGGATAAGGCTCTCAGTCAGCCGAGGGAGAGGGAAAGGGAATTCCGCGATTTTAACGACGAATTGCAGTTTCGGGCGCTCGAGGATTTGCAGGGGAGTTCCTGGAATAATCACAGTAACCAGCTTGTTGCTTCTCCGGCGAGAGTGAAAAAGACGAAACCGAAGTCTAGTCCTGTTCCGGTCCCTGTTCCCCAGGGTTTGAAGAAGCCCGAAAGGATTGAAAGGATTGAAAGAATTGTTGAAAGAATACCGACACCGAAGCAAGCTCATTCCAGTGCCTCGACGCCTTCAAACCCGCCTCCACCTTCGATGAATCAGAAGCCATTGATGATGCCAGAGCAGCTGCCTCCTTCCCCAGTGAGAGCTCCGACACTGCCCACTAGCGAACAGAAAATTGTGAGAGGAGTGGGTATGGTGAAGCAGCCGAAGCCGAGGGCAAAGGATCCTAACAAGAGAGATATGAACATGGAGGAGAAGCAGAAGCTTGGACTTGGGTTGCAGAGTTTGCCTCAAGAAAAGATGCCTCAGCTGGTAGGGATTATTAAGAAGAGGAATGAGCATTTGGCGCAGGATGGCGATGAAATTGAGCTCGACATTGAGGCCCTTGATACGGAGACACTGTGGGAGCTTGACCGGTTTGTGACCAATTGGAAGAAGATGGTGAGCAAGACGAAGCGGCAAGCATTGATGACTAACATCAATCCAGGTTCTGGAGTTGCTGAACCTGCTTCTCCCACTGCCGAAGCTGATGATATGGTAAGTTTTCAATTCAGTAAACAGTCTATTTCTGTTTTTTCATGCTTTGTTTCTTGTGATTTCAGTAAAATTGATGATTTGTGTAGGGAATGTTGTTGACTGGTTGGTTATTGTTTTGTATAAATGTTGTGTAGGGCACAATGAGTGATGATAAGAACGATGATTCGGGGAAGAAATTGAAAGAGAACGATGATGAAGATGTAGATATTGACGATGATATGCCAGCAACTAGCTTTCCTCCGGTGGAGATTGAAAAGGATGAGGGGGCTGGCGGCGCAGGTGGCGGTGGTGGTGGTGGTGGTGGTGGTGCACCAGAGAATGATAATGTAGATCGTGGCAATGGCGGCGGCAGCAGTAGCTCGAGTAGTTCAGGCAGCTCTAGTAGTGATTCTTCGTCCTCCAGTGGTATAGACACTGATTCTTCTTGCGTTTCTACATTATGTTGAGGAATTGAAAAAAAAAAAGGGGGCCATTTTGGTAGAAAATGCTCATTAGTTTGAGCTGTGTGCTTTTTACAGATTCTTCAGGGAGTTCTTCTGGGAGTGACTCCGATGCTGACGATGCACAGTCTTGATTCGCTGTTGAGAAAGCACTCGGCTGTATGATCCGATGATGGGCATCACTTCGAACTGTCCTCTCATTTGGTTGTTGTTTTGATATATAAACATGTTTCTTGATAAGGTATATTGATTGGGTTTTTTCTCAATTCTTTAAAATTCTACTTTTGCTTTAGTTTATCTGGTAATTGATACGAAATCCCTAATGCAGAATGGCGAGTTGGGAAGAAGTGGTGCTTATCAATGATGACGAGATGATTGATTGTTTGTGGGGATGAAGATGTTAGAGAATTTGGTTAGGTTTTGTTAAATGTTGAAATGAAATGTAGTTTTAAGGAAAAACGAATACGGAAGAGCTAAATAGAGAATGTAGATAGTAGTAAGTAGCTTTTGACGAGGGTAGATACAACTCAATACACAATGTTTGCTCTGCTTATTTGCAGTTCCTCCTCCGCTGTTAATGTTGTTGTCTGAAAGGCCTTTGGTGTATTGTTGTTGTTATTTGAGTAAATCTTGAATATGTACAATATGCCTTTGGTTGCAACAATTGAAATAGCAAAGATGAGTGGGACTGCTTGATCTTTACAGCTGTTATTGTGGTTTTTTTTTTTTTTTTTTTAACAAAGGTGAAAGATAAGCACATGGGTTCATGAGTTTTGCCAGCCATGATTTTGGACTGTTATTTTTTTTCAATTTTTAATAAATTCAGAGTAAAAAGAAATACTGATTTTGAAGAACTTGAAATGTATTTTATTGAAGTAGCACTTTGTGATCCATCAATAAGATCTTGATCTTGCCTAAAAAAATAAGATCTTGATCTAAAAATTATATTTTATTTATTGTTTGCCTAAGAAATATGTCGACTTTTAAATAATTTACATAAACTTAAGCAGTTTCTTTCATTGATGGATTCACATGTGCTTTGACATAATTGATTTCACACATCTTGGCAACTATCAGTACGTGCGATTTTTATCAATATAGAAGAAAAATATCATTTTATCCAAGATTGATTGCCATTGTCAATGGCAATTAGCATAATTTTTTACAATAAGTTAACAATAGTGATAAAACTTGAGCTTGATTTCGACAATTTACACAGATAGATTTTCAATCAAGCAAAATCCTATAAGAATTCAAGTACAAATAATTTGAGGTAAAAAGGGTTACATGAAAAAAGAAGAATCATACTCAAAATTGTGTTGATCCTACAGAGAAGTGTTTAATTTAAAGGATCGGTGATACCACATCAGATGAACAGAAAGAAAGCTACATATGACAAAAAAAAAAAAAAAAAGGAAGAACCTTACAAAATAGAAAAGTGCAAAAAAGGTTGAAACATATAAATTCTAAAGTCGAACCTCGGCATCGAACTTACGTCTGCTAATCCTCCTCTCATCCTCAACAACAATGATGATCCACCAATAATACATCTTTTCTTCTCCCAAAAACTAAAAGTATCGAAAAATCTCAATTCCCTCATTTCTTCAGAGCGAGAAACACATCTCCGAGTTGAGATTCGCAAGCAGTGTGCCCTTCTGGTTCCAAAGATTTAAGAAAACTCGCATCGAGTTCAAAAGTCTTCAGTATCTGAAACACCTTTCCGCAGAATTTACGAACATCCGCTCTCCTAGTCTGCTTCTCAGGCATGTTGCTCACCAAGTGTTTGATCAAATGACAGAGCTTCGGTAGATGGGTTTTCAGCATCTTCTTCGACACATCAGCCGAGCTGATATCAGCAGCAGAGGAGAGCTGAGATTTCAATATCTCAGTCACCAAATCGAGCGCCTCAACTTGTCTGAACTGCGATTTAGCACTGCCACACTTCTCCAAGAGGAATCCAAACAGGTGTCGCCCAATCCAAGGTCTTCTTTTAAATGTTTCTTTCAGAAATTCGCATTTCATTTGGGATTTTTTGCTGTCAAAGTATGCCACTAGTGCATTCTGAAATATGTCGCAAACCTTTTGGAGTTCGGTTTGTGGGAAGTTTCTTGAATCTATGATTTTTAGGATCCAAAATATCGAGCTTTGAGCAAGAGAGTTGAGCATTTTGTGCCTATTCCACGAGGCAGATTGTTTCTTCTTGGATGGATTGGCGGCGGATTTCTTTCTCTTGAAGGGCTTTGCCGCCAGCTTCAAGTACTTCTCTAGGAGGGGTTCGAGTACTGGCAGTTCAACTGACTCGTCTCTTGGATGTTCCTTGGCTTTGAATATCTTTTTTTGGATAATCCCCCATATGCGCTGACTAAGCTGCTCGCTCCCTTCGGTTGTTTGTGGATTAGCAAATGTCTGAGCCAGGTTCGAGAATACTTTCAGTACCTGCGGTTTACCTGCATAAATATATAAAATACATAAATAGTTAAGTTTGATTGAGAATCACTAATGTGAGTGAGGTCAAATAAAACCGTGGCAAGAAATTAACGTCACAATTCAATGGCAGTAAGGGGGCCATGACATCCCAAGGCTTCTCAAAAACTCCATATTTTATAAAAAAAAATTATATTTTCCGAATATTGTAATATTATTGCCCCAACCTAAGAAACCTTGTAAAGTTTGATAAAAGCTCTAAATGGAGAGTCGAAATTTACCTGGATTTTGATGAAGGTAAATCTCGAGCAAAGAGAGGACACGGAGCTTAAAGAGCACAAGCTGAGAATGTGCAGTTTCACCTCCAGCTTGGTTCTTCTTTTCCCTAAATATTTCCGCGAGTTTACTATCCATTCGGAACATTTCATCATCGTTCATTCCCTCATCGTCGGACTCATCATCGGAATCATCACCATCAGCCACCGGAAGTTGGGCAGTGACCGCATCAACTCCGATCACCGCCTCGGAATCGTCTGTCTGCTCATCACTGTCGGCAGTTTCACCGGTCTCCTCCACATCGGATTCCTCAGCTTCTTCGAGTCCAAGAAGATCGTCTTCCGCATCATCTTCATCGTCTTCGGAATCCATATTGTGGTGTCGAGCTGGTTTTAAATCTTTTTTAATGACCCGTAGCATCCGAAGTAATCCATCATCCGTAATTTCATCACAGAAATATTTGAAAACCTATATAAAAAATTAAAAAAAAATTAATGATTAAGATACACAGAGAGATATACAGAAAGTTGCATCATAATCTCCTTGAGGGTTGCAATTACTTCACAAAGAAAAACCAATTTTCCAGAAAAAACTCAATTTTCTAATATATTTGTAGGGATTATTCGCAGTCTGAGCTGTCTATTTTCAATCAAAGCTGCCCAAAAGGACTTTAAGCAAATTGGGAAAATATTAGTGTCCTAAGATGAAAGAAAATTAGACTTGTAAACTGCCCCATATTTTATACTAAGGTGCGCAAAAAAAATCATCGTATAAAACAATAATTATTAAAAGACAGTTAGGTAAAATCACAATTGGCCTTTTGCTACTGACCTGCTCAATGGCAGATCGCATGGGAGCCGTGGACTGAGGCAACATAGAAAGCATCGTGTCAACAAGTACGTCCATTAATGCAGGTGCATCATCGCCATCAGGTTCGTCTTCCCCGGAAGATTCTAGAATATCAGAAGATCCGAAAGCTTTCTTACAACATATGACAAGTTCAGAGGCAGCCTCGAAGAATTCCCCAGGCCGAAGCATGATTTGGAGCAGCAGTTGGATGAGCAAATACCTCAGCGCATGCAGTTTGTTTGCATCTGTGCTAAGACCAGAGTTGCGTTCCTACACAAAAACCAGAAAAGTAAATATACGAAGTCTCGGCCAAAAAACTCGTTTCTTTTAATAATCATCCTTTTAAAATACCTCTTTTAATAGTTGACTTTCTGTGGCCTGAAGTTTTTTGAATGCTTCCTCATCATCAGCATCCAAGGCCCTAGACAGTGAAACCGAGGGAATATTCCGTAATATTCCAAGAAACCGCATAAAATACGATCCAAGATCATTTGCCTCAACACCACTGACTACAGCATGAGGCCCTTCTCCTTTCTGAGCATTTGCAAGCAACTGCTGTAGCTGCTCAATGCACATCTGCCGCAAAGCATTAGGAATGGCAGATTTTGGCCACTTGAACATTTCTCCGAGTTCAAAAGATGTTACTTCAGTCCCAAGTGATGACGAAAATAGACCTTGCACCGCAAGGAACTTCAGAACATCTTTTTGCACATGGAACTGTGCGTCTTTATCGAGCTTCAAATGCTTCGAAACACTCGGAAGGGATTCAATAATCCAACTTTTAAGGAACTCAGAAGTACCTTGTGTTACAAGTGCACCCTTGTCTTCAATCGAACCTATCTCGGAATTGTCATCGGTTGTTTGACTCTGGTCTGAAGGTTCATCTGAAGAATGACCTTCATCAAGAAACATGGTCACCAAGTTCTTAATGAAATCAAGACAGCCCTTCTGGGTTTTGAAATCGGACATTAAATCCTTCACCGTTTTTGATCTGGTGATGCAGTCGAATTTCCCATTGCTGTGTTTCTGGAGAGCCACGATGACCTCAACTCTTCTATCATCGTCATTTGCCAGCCATTCAGACAGTTCTTTGAGGAAATGCTGCGCGACTTTGTACAGCCAAGAATCTTTTGTCGAGAGTATATCCATTAGACATTGGACAATCTTGTACGACAGTACAACCGACACGCACGAAGCGGGTAGCTTTGGAAGTAGAAGCTGCAACACATCAAATGACAGTTTTTTTCGATCGTGAGATGAGGTTAAGAGTGACCCTTCGACTGTTACTTCACTGAAGCACCGAAGGTTTCTCTCCATGTCTTCTTCGGCTGAGCTAACCTTGCGGCTTTTTTTGTGTTTCTTGATGGAAATTTGACCTGATGCTGAGTCAGCATCTTGTACAGTATCAGGTAAGAGATTATTAACCAAAACGGGCCAGATACTGTGCACTCGTGGCTGACAGAAGGTAGACTCCTGTAATATTTCAAGATAAACAGATCAATACACAATCGAGGGCAAAGATGGAAGAAAATAAAATTAATATTATACCTTTAAGCAACTTGCGATTTGGGACAGATGATCGGCAGAAAAGAACGCGTTTTTGCTATAGGGGGAAGGCAATAGCTTCCCAAATTTATAGTCAAGGTTGAATTTCTCTTGCATCTTAAGAGCTAGAAGTAAGGCGTCGGGATTTCCGATTTCAGTTGCTCCTTCGAACCACTCCTTAAACCCTGGTGCTTCAAGAACATGATTTGACACTGCTTCAATGGGCAACTAAAACAGCATCATGGAATAATGTCAGAAGAACTGTATTATGCTCTTCGTCGATAAAACAAATATTTCATTCGCCAAATAAATAGTAACAAAGACTGGAATTGGCTTCATAATGATAGTAGAATAATTTTTACCTTTTCAATCATTTCCAAAATAGTTGCGACAGCAGACTCTTGTAAGTACCGTTTCTTAGCAGCAAGCGCAATAAGACAACCAGTAAATTCTTTTATCAGAAGAGTTGTATTATCAGATTTCCATTCTTCAGCAAGTTTTTCTGACCTCGCAAGAGCTCCATATGCAAATAAACGACCAAGTAGGCAGTCTTTAGCCTCCTACAAAATCAGATAAAGATTTTAGACACGAAAAAGAAAGTTCGTTTATTACACTGAGAGGTATTTACTGACCTGGCCCTTCATGTTACTAGTAACCTCCAGCAAAGAAACGATTAGCTTCAACAGTGACTCCAACTTAATGCTAGTAACTGTGCTCAGTAAACTTGCAAGACCTAACGCAAATCCTTGTCTTGCACACTGCAGCATAAAGAAACGCAAACGGAAGATTAAACATAAACCATTGATTTTGAAGAAACTTCAAGACCTACAAATAATTGAAGACAACCCAACGAAGCGAATATGCTTTCTGAAGCAGCAAAATGACTGATTCCACATGAAACATTGACCCTTCAAAGTCTTTTGTACGTCTCAACATCCATAGACCAAAAATAGCACTAACCATCCACAAGATTCGTCCTCGACAGTTTAACAAGACAATAAATAATAGACATATCTAAAAACCCAAAAAAAACGCACCTCTCTTGAAGAGGACAATCCACGAATGAGCCTCCGCACAGCGTACCTCAAAGACGGGGCACAATTATTCAACCCATCGTCTTTCTCAGCTTCCAGTTTCGATTTATCTTCAACTTCATCCTTATTCGCTAACTTCTCGTACGCCTTCTGGACTGCCCTCAACTCCTTCACCAACGAAATAGCAGCTGCTTCTCTAACACTAACATCAGCTGCAGCCAAATTCTTAAACACACCAATGTGGAACTCAGGCAACACTCCACCACCACTACTATTACTCGTACCGGCACTCTCATTATTCTCATTACTACTATCATCTTTCGAGTCTATATCCATTTTTTCAGTAGCGGCCTCGATTTTCTTGGTATTTGCTCCGATTTTCACCTTAGCGAGCACTTTCCTATGCTTTCTCCTCTCCATCGAGTTCAACGATGCCTTGGGACCATTCGAAGATGTCGACACACCGTTAGTGTGATTCTGAATATCACTATCGGGAATCATCTCCGTATCGGTTTTCTTCTTCTCCTTTTTCATCCTCTTGATTAAGGGTTTCGAAGCCGCATCCTCAACGACGGAATCTATATCCTTCTTAAGTTGCCCTAGTTCTTCCACTACAGATTCCTTCATAGAACTCGATTCTCTCTTTTTGCTACCCATTTTACCCCCCAAAAGCTGCAGAAAACACCAATAAACATATAAATATCATCTTCCAAATAAAATATAAGAACACTAATACAACCAAAAAACGCTTCTTTCTACCAAAATGCATTCCAGCAAATTAGCAAACCAACAAAAAAGAAAAACACATACACTACTAAATACTAATCGAATATATAATGAATCAATACAGCACTTACTTCTCAGTAATTTACGCGCGAAAACGGAGACGAAGAATAAAATTAGGGCGGCGAAACACAGAGGAAGAGAGGGCAAAGGTGTTTCGTTCAGGGGAGAATATTAAAAACACAAACACTTCAGAGAGAGAGAGAGAGAGAGAGAGGCGACAGCCGAAGAAGAGAGGGGAAAGGGGGAATCTGTTTAAACCTACATCAATTTTTTGGGTTGGATAAAACCCTTTTTATAGGCCCACTTTGCTATAAAGCCCACTAATAGAAATTATAATTCCGGCCCAAAATATATAGGCCTACATTATAAATTTAAGGGTAAATTCCACTTTCCCCCCTTGTACTTTGGCTGGATATCACTTTACCCCCCTGTACTCTCAATTGCATCAGTTTGCCCCCTTGTACTTTGGTTCGATATCACCTTACCCCCTTCTACTCTCAATTCATCGATTTCCCACTTGTACTTTGGATCGAAATCATTTTACCCACTTCTACTCTCAATTGCATCGATTTGCCCCATGTACTTGAAAAATTGTCTCAATGTGGTATCGCCGTTAGTTTTCAGACATTTGACCTTAACACCGTTTGATTTAAGTCTAAAAATTACTAAAATGTCACCTCTGTAGTTTAAAAAAATGAAAAATAAATTTAAAAAAAAAACAAAAAAAAATTAATAAAATATTTAAGACAGCGAGAAAACATAGTCCACGATTCCAACCATTTTTTTTTTTTTAAATAATTATTTAAACTGGGAGGGGTAGCCTTTATGTCATTTTCAAACTTAGATCAAACGGTGTTAAGGTCAAAGGTTTGAAAACTAACGGCGATGGCCACATAGAGATAATTTTTCAAGTACGTGGGGCAAATCGATGCAATTGAGAGTAGAAGGGGGTAAAGTGATATCAAGCCAAAATACCAGGGGTAAATCGATGAATTGAGAGTGGAAGAGGTAAAGTGATATCGAACCAAAATACAAGAGGGCAAATCGATGCAATTGAGAGTACAAGGGGGGAAAGTGGAATTTACCTAAATTTAATAAACATTTATCAAAGTATACATCAAGTATGAATAAAATATTTTAATAATTTATTAGGTTGTAAAATATTTCTTTTAAATAAGTTTGTGCTTGGTTGAAGCCTGACTATCATTTTCTTAATTGTTTTTTTGTTTTAAAGAGTTAAATAGTTCATTGTGTGTGTTTGTATTTTCCGGAAATGATTTTTTCCGGCAGAAAGGAAGCATTTATCGAGTAAATTACTTAAGAATTATATAAAATATCTTAATAGTTGATTAAGTTATAAATTATAATACAGTTTTTTTAATGAGGAATAATTTAATTGATTGTAATTTGTGTTTTTTTTAAGTATTAAATAAAATATTTTAATAGTCTGTTAGGTTATAATATAATTAAAACAATACATATATTTAATTAATTATAACTTGTAGTTTGTTAAAATGAACAATTTAATGTATATAAATTTTTGATGTGCTATATAAATAAAGAAATTCATTATTTTTAAGGGTAAATTACAACCACCCCTGAGGTATTGTCAAATTACGAAAACCCCCCTATTGTTTGGATAATTACAACCACCCCCTCAACTCCTCAAATTTAGTGAACTCTTCGAGATTATAAGAAATATTATCACTTTTGTACCCATTTTATCTCATTCGAACTCCACATTTTGAAGCAAGATGATCATAATATGTGTTTTTTTGGCTTGTATATATCAGATTGTAGTGCATCAGAAACTGTATTTTTACACAAAATGAGTACAAACTAGAGGGCATTCCACGAAATCTAGATGATTATGTTGAATTTGACACCATAAGGGTGGAGGTATAAGAAAAAATCATAGTTGATGGGGTAAATGTAATTATCCAAACAAGAAGGTTTTTTTTTGTAAATTGATCATACCTCAGGGGTGTTTGTAATATACCCTATTTTTAATTTATTCATATATTACAAACCAATTACTAAGCCCTACAGGAAAACAGAATGATATGTTAAGTAGCTTATACTCAGTTTATCTGCATCTTTCCCTACACTTTTTTTTTTTTTTGATAAATCATCTTTCCCTACACTTAGAGGGTGTTTGGCTAAGCTTATAAGATGTTAAAAGGAGCTTATAAGATGATTAAGAGCTTATAAGCTCTTCCAAAGTGTTTGGTAAATTTTAGAAAAAGATCTTAATTTTTTAAATAAGCTGTTGAAGAGCAAATAAGATCTTTTTAAATAAGTACCTCTACCCCACCTTTTTATTTAAGATCTTTTGATGAGTAAAAATAGAAAATAAGCCCATTATCCAAACACCTTTTTATTTAAGATCTTTTGATGAGTAAAAATAGAAAATAAGCCCATTATCCAAACACTTTAAAAATTAATCTTAAAAATAAGATGTAACAGCTTATCAGCTCTTAAACATCTTATCAGACATAAGAGCTTATCAGCTGTTTAAAATAAGCTTAACCAAAAACGCTCTTAATCAAAACACTCTGCTACAACATTATTCAAGATCCAAAACAATCTTTTTAAGAAAACTGTTCACAATAATTGGATACATACCATATCAACTTCATATGCGCCCACGTAAATTTATTAAAACAGTAAAATTTTAAGCGCGAATCAAATTCTCGACCGAATGTATGCCAAAAATAGCAAAATCGCCTACTCAAATTCATCATAATGAAGTTTCTAACTTGGAAGATTCAATACAACCAAAACTACCCGGAATTTAGATACAAAGACCTCCAAAAAACACTTTTTAGTAGTTCAACCGAAACAAATAAGTAGTCATCACCTCTCGGTTGTCTACTTCTTTACCTCCTCATAATCCGCCTCGGGTGCCGCCTGTTCACCGCCCTGAGAACCTCCAGCAGCACCATCACCGCCAGAAGAACCACCAGTCATGTGCTGCCCAATCTTCGAAACGGCCTTATTAGCCACGTCCAACTTCGCCTTAATATCATCAATGTTGTCATTATTCATAGCACTTCTCAAATCCGAAACAGCAGTCTCGATTTCGGTAGCTACCTCACTCGGAATCTTGTCCTTGTACTCGTTCAAGCTCTTCTCAATACTGTAGATAGTGGTGTCTGCGCTGTTTTTCAGGTCAATCAAAGCCTTCTTCTCTTGATCCTTCTGAGAGTGCATCTCAGCCTCCCTCACCATCTTTTCAATCTCCTGATCCGATAAACCGCCAGACGAACGGATAGTAATCTGCTGCTCTTTGCCTGTGGTCTTGTCTTTAGCAGAAACGGTAGTGATTCCATTGGCATCGATATCGAATGTGACTTCAATCTGAGGCATTCCCCTGGGTGATGGAGGGATACCCACAAGATCAAATTCTCCGAGAAGCTTGTTGTCAGTCGCCATTTCACGTTCTCCTTGCAATACTTTGATGCCCACTTGTGTCTGATTGTCTGCAGCTGTTGAGAATGTCTAAAAAAAACAAATAAAACAGTCAAATTGCCTGCCAATCAAATGTACATTTCGACATGGAAAAGAGTTCTTTTTTACTCTGCTCACCTGACTTTTCTTGGTGGGGATTGTGGTGTTTCTGTTGATCAACCGGGTGAAAATACCTCCCAGTGTTTCGATACCAAGAGAAAGTGGGGTGACATCGAGTAGAAGAAGCTCCTTCACATCACCACGGAGAATGCCACCCTGGATAGCAGCTCCCATAGCAACAGCTTCGTCTGGATTCACCCCCTTGCTTGGGGGTTTGCCGAAGATTTCGGAAACTACTTCTTGAACCTTTGGAACACGTGTCATACCTCCAACAAGGAGCACCTCATCGACCTCCTTGGCCGATATGCCAGCATCCTTCAGACAGCTCTTGCAGGGTGCCTTGGTCCTCTCGATTAAGTTGTTGACCAGAGCCTCGAATTTCGACCTGGTCAATGTTATTTCCAAATGCTTTGCGCCAGATGCATCGGCAGTGATGAAGGGTAAGTTGATTGCAGTTTGAGAAGTTGATGAGAGCTCGATCTTTGCTTTCTCGGCTGCCTCACGAAGCCTCTGCAGAGCTAGCCTGTCCTTCGACAGATCAATACCCTCTGTTCTCTTGAACTCATTCACCAAAAAGTCCAATAAAGCATTATCAAAATCCTCTCCTCCCAAAAATGTGTCACCGTTTGTGGCTTTCACCTGTACAACAGAACCAAAATTAAACCCAAACCGAACCACGGAATAGCTGAAAAAACTGCTTGAGAAATACAATTTACCTCAAAAACACCGTTTGAAATCTCCAGAATAGAGACGTCGAAAGTTCCACCTCCCAAATCAAAAACAGCAACAAGACCCTCTTTGTTGTTCAATCCATAGGATAGAGCAGCTGCAGTAGGCTCGTTGATAATTCTTTGTACGTCGAGGCCTGCTATCTTGCCAGCATCTTTGGTGGCCTGCCTCTGGGCATCATTGAAATAAGCTGGGACTGTGACCACAGCCTTGGTTATGGTCTTACCCAGATAAGCCTCTGCAGTTTCCTTCATCTTTGTCAGAACAAAAGCACCGATTTGATGTTCGCCAGTTATACTAGGCCCCTCCGTTGTACCT